TTTCTTTCTTTCTTTCTTTCTTTCTTTCTTTCTTTCTTTCTTTCTTTTCTTTCTTTCTTTCCTTCTTTCATACCAGCATTGAACCTATGGCACTTAACCACTATGCCACATCTCCTACTCAGCCCTTTATTATGATTTATTTACAGACAGTTCTCCCTGTCTTGCTTAGGGCATTACTAAGTTGCTGAGGCTAACCTTGAACTCATGATCCTCCTGTTACATCCTCCTGGCCTGATGGGATTACAGGCATGTGCCACAACACTGGCTACTTTATTGCTTTTTGATTGTGGGTATATAATTGATCTTTCCAAACTCTAAAACAGAATTTTTTCAATTTCACTACTCGAACATGTTTTCTGAAACAGACAAGTTTTAGTTTTGGGTACCTTTGCAGTATATGTCCTTTTTATGTTCTAGAAGTAAAGAGGTTGAAATGATAGTATATTTGTGAAAGTACTTTTCTTTTCAAATAGACCTGTTTTAAATGAATGGTCTATTTATAGTTGTTCACAGTCTATAACAATTTACTCATTACTCACTCTAATAAAAACAGGTAGAACACATTTAAATATAAGATCCCTACAATTTAATTGAAGTTACATAATTTTTAAAATACATAATAATTGTGATTTTATTTTTATTCATTTCATCCAACCAGAAAATCAGAATTCAAAGTTTGGTGTTGAAGTGGGATCTAGAGTGGAAGGGAGATGAGTGTTTCTTTAGAACCTATCACTAAGAGGTACCTCCAGGAGTTCACAGATGCTGGGCATTAGGAGTGTCAGTGTCTTTCTGATATTTTGTGAGCCTCTTTTTCCTTTTGATGGTGTCACAATGTAATTTGGCTTTGCTCAGATACTATGACCTATGAGTTCTGTTTGTGTAATAAGGGAAATAATCATTCCTAGAAAAAGCAAGCACCTTCTACTGGTTCTCCAAGGCTGGAGAGTGGTTATAAAAGAATCTTTTGACTGAGTGTGGCTGAAGATCTATACAGAATTTGGTGTTTATTGTTTTTCCTTGATATTTTTCAAGCAACTTTCTACATTTCCATTAATGCTAGCCAACTTCCATTAGAAATCAAAAAAGTGACAATGTAAGGGTAAAAGAAATTGAAGTTAAAGCGTAAAAGTTAAAGGGTAAAAGACTGGGTGTTGTAAAAGTTTCTAAGCTGCAAGGTCTGAGTTAAAATGTAAA